TTACACTGTACCACTTTATCCACGAAAATTGGTATTCAACGAACAAAAATCAATCAACAGTAACATGTTTATGCGATTTACATACCATTACATGCAAACGGCTGGCAACATCTATTACTATTGCAACATGGACCTGTGTCTTCTTCATTTACACCACACGTTTGCTTACATATTCCGTCTTCACGTTTACATTGAAGTGTATCTAAATATGCAATTGATATAAATATTACAATTATTATTATTTGAGAATTCCTGATTTTGAATAAAAAAACAGTTTCGGACAGTCGACAAATAGTGCTATTTTCATTTGTAGCACTGAGTCGACACCCCTTTTGGTGCACTGTTAGTTTCCGGTGGTTTATCATTTGCTCAGTAGTCAGTTTGCTAAAATTGCGCTATCAACCTTATAATTTGCTTAGAAAGTAAGATTCCAATTTACCGCAGGTAAAGTTGACCTTAAGCCAATTTTGCTTTTGTGTTAGATCTTTTTTTTTAGTCATTTAGCATAACGTTTCTATGTATGTATTCATTTGTGGCGTTCGACTGGTTAATTTAAATGTTTCTAAGACAACTAAATCCATCTCATTTAGGTACCAGGCGTAATTCTTTTTCCTGGTCATTGTATTTGCTACAGTGCATGTTACATCTGTTATGTTTACCCTGGATAATTTTAAATTACGCTATTTAAATGTTTAGTTGCATCTAATCAGTTTATAACTGGACATTTCATTTTCCAACATATCGATATCATAGAAAAACAAAGGATATGGGGAATCCATCCATGACACAAAATCTATACATGCACATTTAAAGAAATGTAAGGGACCATTATCAATGTAATGGTCTTCGGTAAACACCACATTATCTAAATAACAAATTCATAGTTTCTGTTTAACAATGAAGTATGACCAAAATATATTATATACTTTGGATTTATTTATTATCGTGGGTACCAATATTCTGTTTAACAATAAAGTATGACCAAAATATATTATATACTGTGGATTTATTTATTATCGTGGGTACCAATATTCTGTTTAACAATAAAGTATGACCAACATATATTATATACTGTGGATTTATTTATTATCGTGGGTACCAATATTCTGTTTAACAATAACGTATGACCAAAATATATTATATACTGTGGATTTATTTATTATCGTGGGTACCAATATTCTGTTTAACAATAAAGTATGACCAAAATATATTATATACTGTGGATTTATTTATTATCGTGGGTACCAATATTCTGTTTAACAATAAAGTATGACCAAAATATATTATATACTGTGGATTTATTTATTATCGTGGGTACCAATAATCTGTTTAACAATAAAGTATGACCAAAATATATTATATACTGTGGATTTATTTATTATCGTGGGTACCAATATTCTGTTTAAAAATAAAGTAAGACCAAAATATATTATATACTGTGGATTTATTTATTATCGTTGGTACCAATATTCTGTTTAACAATAAAGAATGACCAAAATATAGTATATACTGTGGATTTATTTATTATCGTGGGTACCAATATTCTGTTGAACAATAAAGTATGACATAAATATATTATATACTGTGGATTTATCTATTATCGTGGGTACCAATATTCTGTTTAACAATAAAGTATGACTAAAATATATTATATACTGTGGATTTATTTATTATCGTGGGTACCAATATTCTGTTTAACAATAAAGTATGACCAACATATATTGTATACTGTGGATTTATTTATTATCGTGGGTACCAATATTCGTGGATTGAGGTAAACTGAAATTTTCTTGTATAAGCTTTTTTCGTGGTATTGCCAAAGTCTGCATATCACCTATAGAAAATTTGTAATTCGGTAACCATTCTAATTCATAGTTCACACTGTACCACTTAATCCACGAAAATTGGTATTCAACGAATAAAAATCAATCAACCGTAACATGTTTATGCGATTTACATACCATTACATGCAGGTGGCTGGCAACATCTATTACTATTGCAACATGGACCTGTGTCTTCTTCATTTACACCACACGTTTGCTTACATATTCCGTCTCCACCTTTGCATTGAAGTGTATCTAAATATGCAATTGATATAAATATTACAATTCTTATTATTTAAGAATTCCTGATTTTGAATAAAAAAAGAGTTTCGGACAGTCGACAAATAGTGCTATTTTCATTTGTAGCACTGAGTCGACACCCCTGCTGGTGGACTGTTAGTTTCCGGTGGTTTATCATTTGCTCAGTAGTCAGTTTTCTAAAATTGGGCGATCAACTTTATAATTTGTTTAGAAAGTAAGATTTCAATTTCCCGCGGGTAAAGTTGACCTTAAGCCAACTTTGCTTTTGTGTTAAATCTTTTTTTTGGTCATATAACATAACGTTTCTATGTATGTATACATTTGTGGCTTTCGACTGGTTGATTTAAATGTTCCTAAGACAACTAAATCCATCTCATTTAGGTACCAGGCGTAATTCTTTTCCTGGTCATTGTATTTGCTACAGTGCAGGTTACAGCTGTTATGTTTACTCTTGAAATTCTTAAATCACGCTATTTAAATGTTTCAGTTTCATCTAATCAGTTTATATCTGGACATGTCATCTTCAAACATATCGATATCATAGAAAAACAAAGGATATGGGGAATCCATCCATGACACAAAATCTATACATGCACAGCCAAAAAAACACACACAAAGCGAAAAAACAGCGCTTTTTTTTTTTGTTCTTCATCTCAAAGTCACAGTGAGGCCTACAACACGGAGGAAAACTCTCACCTCACTGCATATACTCTATATTATAATAGTTAATCAAAAAGAAAGTATACCATTGCAGATTTTACAGCACTTCATAGTTTTGCAGCATAATCCGTCTTCGTCTTCGTCTTCTCTTTCTTTTTTGGAATCACATTCCACCTTACAGTTGCAATCTTTATCGTCTATAAAACAATATTTCACGACTCTATTATAATAATAACAATCCTCGAGTTTCCCTTACGAAAGGGACAAAAATGATTTGTCATAACACTAACATCTGGCTTACAAATACAATGTTAGTAGGTGATTGCAAATCGACGCTTTCAGACATATTTAACCCGCAATATTACACAAAAAACTCGAGAAAAGTAAACTGAAGAAAATATTCACATGTGTATGATTAGCGAAAAAAGTATGGCGCAATCATCGTATCCATGACTCTTTGGGAAATGATTTATGTAAGCTGAGCCCTTATTTGATCCTTCTTTTTGAACATAATTGATTTGAACAATAGAATCTCGAATTGATATTATTCTTTGCTCTAACTTAATAGTCTAATTTACCAACTACTTCCTATCTATTTCCCCCTCAGTTTTACCAACTTCATTATGTTTGTCTTTCCTTTGGTACTTACCAACTTCTTTATGTCTGTACATCCTTTTGTGTTTATTAACTCTTTCCTTTCTATCGATCTTCCCGTGTCTCACTTCATCAATCTTTCTTTCTTTTTGTTTTCCTAATAGTTATATTTATGCAAATTGAAAAATGTAACACTCCTATCTTAGGAAATTAAATGATTTTTTTTTTCTAATTATATTTTAAACATATCAAGTGTACTACGTTCCTCAAAGAGATATAACATAACAAATCGTAAGCCTCGTAAAAAAACGACAAGAGAAGCCTTGTTCCGCCTCAAAAAAGCTATACAAATATAGTAAAAGAACGGATATAGAGAAGTGAGTGAAAACAAGACAACAATTCATATTGACAATAACGTTTACACATAGAAAACATTGGTCCAGTCAACCTATATTTTCTCATTAAATTAATGTTCTGTTTTGTAGCTTTTAATGTATGCAATTAAGTCAAACAAAAGTAAATGAGTTATAGAAAATATAAAAAGGATAACTATCAAAACTATCATATTTAAACTCTTTTACTGACTCTTTCTATATGTAAGACAACTGATTCCATATGGTTATCATTACGCCAGTTAATAAAAAATAGTGAAACTAAACAGTTTCTTTTTTTAAAAATAAAATAGCAAAAAAAAACATTACACCTCTAAACGTGGTACTCTAATGATGAAAACCGGATTACAATCAACTCGATAACAATAAAGAGTAAAACGTTATCAACAATTGAAAAAAAAAAGATATACAGAAGTATGCTTGCCCTTAGTTTACAATAACATAGTGTCTTTCCAAATGATATAAACTCATTTAAAAAAATACAGTAGGCAATTCAATTCGTGTACCAAGAACAAAAAAGAAGAACGTAAAAATATGAAATGATTAAACGGTAAAGTAGTTTTACCTTCCACTTGATGAAATGTCACCACTGCGGCACAAACAATGAAAAAGACAAACACAAATTTCATCTTTGTATAACTATGTTCAACTCTGTAGATGTCAATTATAAGTAATGTATTAACGACAATATATGTACTGCTGATCGCTGGTTTGTCGTGTAATAAAAGTACGCACATCCACGTTGTATACTATAATTATACTATATTTAGATTTGTTGTTTCAATCTGTTGCATAGACAGAGAAAAAGGTATACATTTGTATTCAGACAATGTTTAAAGTTTGTGAAGTTTAATCAACTTTAAAAGTTGCAATGCCCCGGATGACACATGGATGTGCACTTTTACAAATTTACAAAAGTTTATCAAATTAATTGAATAATCAAATATTTGATCATTGTTGTTGTCAACAGATGTTCTCAAAAAGCAAGCTTCCTGAATCGACGTTTTGTACAGTGGTTTCGATTGGTTAAAAATATGTCTTATCAACGCCTTGGATAGAAAAATTAATGGATAATTTATTAACGCAAGAATATTTTTAACTTCGAGCTTACATGACATGTTATAAACAATACGATGATTGTTTGGATACAAAATCAATATTTATTGTAACTGACTTATTTATGATGTCGTCATAGTCATGTGTTCTACATCAACAAATATTGTTGTCTAAACATAAAATTCTTGACTAATTTTAATTTTCGTCGTTGTAGGCGACAAGAGAATTTCAAAATATATTCACGAACCATCCTAGCTCACATAATATACTTGAGGAGGTAATTCACGAATAATAGGTTAGTTCAAAGCTTATTAGTTATTATTAACTGTAATATAACGTGTAGTAGTTGTAAATCTTATCGACAAAAAAGTTTTAACAGAAACATATACTCAAAGATAGATTTAAAAAATTGAATTTCCATAAAAACTGGCAACATCAAATGCTTTGTAGTTTATTTAGCCTTTTGACTTTTTTAATTCAAGTGTCACTGATTAGTCTTTTGTAAACGGACCACGCGTTGGGAGTATATAATTATAATCCTGGCATATTTATATTTACAACCGATTAAGAAAAACTTCAACCAAAACGAAAAAAAATATAAATCTTGAAAAACAAATTGTTAACAATTGTAGGTCTTTCCACTGTTAAATTTTCATTTGTCGATGGGAATATATTGATGTAAAAATAGTAATTTCTAATTGGAAAAATGCCTCTTGGTGTCAAAAAATAATAAAAAGTGAAAGGTACTTCCTTGTAACACAAGTGAATTAAGTAGGGATACGTACATAAGTAACCTAGTGGAAAATCAAAACGAAAATAAGAATTAAAAAAATATATCAAAAATCAATGCAATTTGTAAAATTAGTTTTTTATTTATTACTTTTCATAGTCTTGTACGTTGTGGTATACTAGGAAGGCAGGAATGGCATTAATTTCATGAAAGTTTGTTCTTTGAGATAGCTACACGAAAGTTTGTTCATTGAGATAGCTACACGAAAGTTTGTTCATTGAGATAGCTACACGCAAGTTTGTTCATTGAGATAGCTACACGAAAATTTGTTCATTAAGATAGCTTCATGAAATTTGTTAAATGTGATAGCTACACGAAAGTTTGTTCATTGTGATAGCTTCACGAAAGTTTGTTTATTGAGATAGCTACACGAAATAAAATTGAGAATGGAAATGGGGAATGTGTCAAAGAGACAACAACCTGACCATAGAACAGACAACTGCAAAAGGTCACCAACAGGTCTTCAATGCAGCGACGAAAGTTTGTTTATTGAGATAGCTACACGAAAGTTTGTTCATTGTGATAGATACACGAAATTTTGTCATTGAGATAGCTTCACGAAAGTTTGTTCATTGTGATAGCTTCGCGAAAGTTTGTTCATTGAGATAGCTACACGAAAGTTTGTTCATTGAGATAGCTTCACGAAAGTTTGTTCATTGTGATAGCTTCATGAAATTTGTTAAATGTGATAGCTACACGAAAGTTTGTTCATTGTGATAGCTTCACGAAAGTTTTTTTATTGAGACAGCTACACGAAAGTCTGTTCATTGAAATAGCTAGACGCAAATTTGTTCATTGAGATAGCTACACGAAAGTTTGTTCATTGAGATAGCTTCATGAAAGTTTGTTCATTGTGATAGCTTCATGAAATTTGTTCATTGTGATAGCTACACGAAAGTTTGTTCATTGTGATAGCTTCACGAAAGTTTGTTTATTGTGATAGCTACACAAAAGTTTGTTCATTGTGATAGCTACACGAAAGTTTGTTCATTGAGATAGCTTTACGAAAGTTTGTTCATTGTGATAGCTTCACGAAAATTTGTTCATTGAGATAGCTACACGAAAGTTTGTTCATTGAGATAGCTTCACGAAAGTTTGTTTATTGAGATAGCTACACGAAAAATTGTTCATTGTGATAGCTTCACGAAAGTTTTTTCATTGAGAAAGCTTCACGAAAGTTTGTTCATTGAGAAAGCTTCACGAAAGTTTGTTCTTTGTGGTAGCTTCACGAAAGTTTGTTCTTTGTGATAGTTTCACGAACGTTTGTTCATTGTGACAGCTTCACGAAAGTTTGTTTATTAAGATAGCTACACGAAAGTTTGTTCATTGAAATAGCTAGACGCAAGTTTTTTCATTGAGATAGCTACACGAAAGATTGTTCATTGAGATAGCTTCATGAAAGTTTGTTCATTGTGATAGCTTCATGAAATTTGTTCATTGTGATAGCTACTCGAAAGTTTGTTCATTGTGATAGCTTCACGAAAGTTTGTTTATTGTGATAGCTACACGAAAGTTTGTTCATTGTGATAGCTACACGAAAGTTTGTTCATTGAGATAGCTTCACGAAAGTTTGTCCATTGAGATAGCTTCACGAAAGTTTGTTCATTGTGATAGCTTCATGAAAATTTGTTCATTGAGATAGCTAAACGAAAGTGTGTTCATTTCGATAGCTTCACGAAAGTTTGTTTATTGAGATAGCTACACGAAAAATTGTTCATTGTGATAGCTACACGAAAGTTTGTTCATTGAGAAAGCTTCACGAAAGTTTGTTCTTTGTGATAGCTTCACGAAAGTTTGTTCTTTGTGATAGCTTCACGAAAGTTTGTTCATTGAGATAGCTACACGAAAATTTGTTCATTGAGACACCTTCACGAAAGTTTGTTCATTGAGATAGCTACACGGAAGTTTGTTCATTGAGATAGCTACACGAAATTTTGATCATTGAGATAGCTTCATGAAAGTTTGTTCATTGAGATAGCTTCACGAAAGTTTGTTCATTGAGATAGCTTCACGAAAGTTTGTTCATTGAGATAGATACACGAAAGTTTGTTCATTGAGATAGCTACACAAAAGTTTGTTAATTGAGATAGCTACACGAAAGTTTGTTCAATTTCATTTTAAACTCTTATCTTTTTTGACAAAGATCTGTTTAATTACTCAAATATGAATAAAGCAATCAGCATTGAAACCACTTAAGGAGATGCCTGTACCAAGTCAAGAATACGACAGTTATTTTCCATTCGTTAGATGTGTTTGAGCTTTTGATTTTCCCATTTTATAAAGGACTTTCAAGTTTTGAATTTCGATCTCTTGTAGTTCGGTATTTTTGTCATTGTACTTTTTAGTGTTTTGTTTACTAAACCTCTCAAATACGAAAATGTTTAATAATATAAAGGATTATTTATTGGTACGTCATTGTTTCAGTTCAAAAATACTTACAATTTACTGTATACACAGTTTTGAAAAATACAGTAAATAAAGAAAGATTAAAACCTAATTTCTTCAAGGAAATTACAGAATTTTCTTACTTGATGATAATTTTAGGAAATATATCTATCATGGATTGATTTGAGTAATAAACCATCAGTAAGACATAATCAATCCTTATCTAATCTTCTGTTATATTCACGTGACTGAACAATAAAAATTATGGTCATTGATTTTGTTGACACAATGCAACATATTGTTTATTTCTCATAATGTGTTAAGTAAGATCTTCTTTAACCGGTAAGAAAATAATTGTTACCTTTTTGGCAAAGACGTACATAAGACAAAGTGTTCACTAATATAAATCCCTGTATTCCATGTATTTCTAGAAAGATTTTACCAGTGACACATAGCTAAACCTTCTTTTTAGAATATAATAAGTTTTAATACATGTGTACAAAACGTCAAGTACACATAATTATTGTTTGCTAAACCCAAAGCAACTTCCTTTTCGATAATGATAACGTGTAATCTATAATCTTGCATTGTTGGTTTTTTTTTTCTTCTCTTTGATGTGTATTCTTCATTGTTTGCCCAATATGCACTGCTCTGTAACCACATTTAGACAGTTTGGACCGAGATTTGAATTTGTCTAAATTCTCGAAACTAATTAACAGCATGATTTATTTTTAATTCACGGTCAAATTCAATATTCATGAACCTTTCTCGTAGAGACTAATTCAGTTTTAAAGAGATTTAGGTGTCACTGTCACTGTTTTTGAAAATAATATGTTGAAGAATGGACATTTAAAGTTATTTTCGACTACGCTTGTATAACCATTCAACTATACACATACGCTTTGAAACTTTTAAAACAATTTAGACTCATGCTTTCATGCATATTTCCGGCAGTACTGTCTTTCTATTAGAAAGGCATTGAGAGCCAACGGAATTTTCATGTGTATTCTTTATTTACTTTAACATTGCCTGTTCAAGAATGCAAATTTAATACAAAAACCACCAAAGGGAACAATTGGATTTACACTGATCTCCAAACCCCCCCCCCCCCCCCCCCCCCACAAATAAAAATGGGGAATGGATTATTGATTTAACAGTATGTCATGTCAGGCTCTTTTAGGTTTCATGTTGCTATCCTGTATGGCTTTTACTTATTGTTATTGTTGTGCGAACTATAGTAACTAAAATGAAAGTAATCTGGTCTCTTATTGGGGATACTAATAGTTGTCTCATTGGGAATTAATTTACCTTATTCTATAAGAAAAAAGTATCACTTCCGTATCCATGAAAATGTAATTAAAATTTTTGTTTTTTTTTTTTTAAATATTTTTCAATTTTTTCTTTAGATGACTATGAAGAATGGATTCAGCAGAATATAATCAGGAATTGTTCTATTGGTTTATCTTCAGGAGAAAAATGGCTATGAAGGATCGGATCAACATAATAGAATCGGAAATGTTTCGAAAATATAAAGTACAACATAATTGATTTTCCGTTGATTTTATGATGTTCACACAGCTTAAAGACATCATGCTCATTAATTTATGGAAACAAATGTAACATGTTTCTCAATACTCATCCCGTGTTGTGAAATCTTCTTTAACAGGTAAGAAATAATGTTTTATCTTTCTAGCATAGGTCGATAATGATAACTTTAAAAACATTCTCACAATAATTCCTGCATCAATGATCAATATTTGCAAGGTTGATGTATGGTTTCTTTATCCTTTATATTTCATTATCCATTTTGTATCTGTTCTTTATATGCCATATTCCTAACTTGGTATCTTTCGTGTTTTTTTTTTTTTTTACATTTTAGTAGTTATTAAACAAGAATTAAAATAATTACAATAAATGTTGTAAGCACAGTTCTGGTGAGTTCTTAATTATTTATGTAAAACAAGATATCACAAAAAATCTTATTTAATATTTCATAAAAGTAACACAACAGACCTTTGATCATCTGATACGACTACTTTTATCTAGTCAACAAGTGAGGATCAAGTTCGATTTAACATGTGGTTTTTGAAGCCTTTCGGGGTTAAAGCAAAGCTGGACCTTTTGAAAATTCTCTATATTAAACATGTGTTCTATGTGTATATAAACAAAAACATGTCGCTATTTGCTATTTTCTCTCAGTTAATATTTAGTGTTTTATCTAATCTTTTTTTTTTGTTTAATGACATCATCAACATTTTAAAATCATACCAATGTTTTATATAAATGGAAGATTGAAGATATAGGAATGTAAAATTGATGGGGTCAATAAAATGACTAAAACTGACCGATTTGACATCAAAAAGCGCATTTAACTGCGATAATCTATAGGATGCGTAAGAGCAAGAGTTTATCAAATACAATAGTTAAAATGTCGGTTTTCTTTTATAATTCATTAGTCATAATTCAGAGGTACAAAACATAATCATGATAATTATTTTTATTAACGGTGAAGTTTCCTTCAAATGTTTCTCTCTTTTTCGATTGGATAGAACCGCGTTTTTTAAGCCCTTTGAAAGTAGATAACAGCCAATTTGACCGGCTACTCCTTTCACTATGCATTTGACTATTGTTTTACATCCAAATAACCAACTTTTATAGGTGAATGTAGAGGAAGTTTTTTCTAGACCGATGGGAAGTTTCACCTCACCGGATTTTCCGTCAAATTATCGCAATAATCAAGATTTTTGTTATAACATCTCGATTGAAGAGGCTTATCGAATACTGTTGAACTGTATAACCTTTCAGTTGGAAAATGGTGATTTTGTCACAAGGAATTTTGTTAAGGTATACATATTTGAGTGCAATGATGTACTTCCGGGTTGATTATTTGTATTCATCAATATTAAGGTTACAGTTGATGCTTATCAGTACAATTCTTGTTATCATAGGTGATCACAATATTCTAAAGATTGCACGACATAAAATAATAACAAACCAAATATATATAAATTCATATTAACACATATATATATTAACACACACACATATATATATATATATATATATATGTATGTTTCTTTGTAGGTCTATAGAAGAGACATTACAGCAGATAAACATGCATCAGCAAACGTTGGTGGACAAGCTAAACACTTGGAAATCTTCAATGATGACCAGATAATTTCCTATGTTGCAAGATGTGTTATATTCTTTTATTAAATATCATCTATCGAACATGTTTATCAATCTTCTTACTATCCACAAGGAGTGATAAGGGAATGAAAAGTTCGATGAATTTCTTTTCAATACACCTAGCGATTAATAACCCTAGTAATCACCGGTAAATAATATGTATGCTTCTTAATTTGTACACGAGTTATCTCCCATCACAATGATGTAAAAAACGCATGTAAACAAAATAGTAACCCATCGTGTGAAGAGAAAATAAGATTTTGATATCCATCTAGTGACAAGGGTGTCTGTCATAAACGGTACTTTTCATGGTCATTATGATCTTCCTCTGTATACATAATAGATATTTTAAGTAGATATAAGACATATTTAAAGGTTTCATAACGAGTGAGGATTGGATATTGCTTAACATCAACCCGAATTATTCAATTTCAATAAAATAATACACTAGCCTTCGGGGAGTATATTGTTACTATTTAAATCTTAAAACGAGAGTTGTCAGTACATTTTCTCTTATAGTCAGCGCTCTTTTTGTGTTGAACTATAAATTCTGTGAATAGTTGATCTAGTCTTTTTCACATACCATGTTTGACATCATATGCCCTTATCTGGCGTTAAACTTTAAAATCAAACATTTTGAAAAAATTTTCACGCTTGAGAATGTAATGAAATTTGACAAAAAGGAGATTTCAAGGCAAAAATTGTGAGTGTTTTGTATATTATTGAAGAAATTACATATGTTCGTTGCCACGGACGAAATGTACATCGTCGTAACCTTTGAAAGTTATCAATGACCTAACTAATAGCCAATGGAAATATCGTCTCATGATGCTGGATAAGCCACTCAAATTAACGCAGTTTTCGTTTAAATTTTTTGTATCACACACCGAACATGTTTATCAATCTTCTTACTATCCACAAGGAATGATAAGGGAATAAAAATTTCGTTGAATTTCTTTTCAATACACTACAACTCCCGCTGTTAGTTCGGTATAATAAAACAAATGCCCCTTAGAAGTGATACAAATCCTTTAGTGAAATAACTTTTTCGGGTTGACAATATTGTATATTCACCATTTCTACGGGCTATAATTGTATGTGATTATATCTTACACTTGTGATAAACATACGCATATCGTATAAAAATAAAGATAAGCAGTATTATTGGCAATTGTTGCGTAAACAATCTACCTGAGATAAAAGAACAATGATGTGTACAATTGTTATTTCTTGTAAGATACTTGCTGCTTGTAAGGAAATTTTGCACCATTTAATGCAAGATCATAAGTTAAAGTCATCCTTTTCGTATAGATATTGTTGACTATTTTGAATCATGTGTCACAGATTACTACGGATATATTCATGTGTTGCAGTCACAAACCTAACCTCTTTTCTTAAACTGCGATATCCTCTCCCGAACTTTTTAACTAACAGAAAGTTAAACTACAGGTATTTCACATGAAGTAGGTTCTGTCCATCCTTCGGCTTTTTGTTGGGGTTTGTGCAATAAATTTTCTTTTGTGTGTGTGATTTTTTTTTTGTTGACTTGTTCGTCTTTTCGTGTTTTTTATACCATGGTATATCCTTTGTTTTTTCAGATGATTGTAATTGATTGCATACCATATAGTACGCTGACAAAAGTTTGGGAATCATTAGATTTCATATATTTCAATTGAGAAACTCTCATTTTAGACAAAAACAATAACATAATTTGATAATGGCAGACATAAAATAACTGAGGATGTCACTTTATAATATAGGACCAATACACCAAAACAAATTGACATAAATGTAAACACACACAAGATCTTTTTTTTCAAGCGTACATATGGATTTTTTTTTTGTAATGTAAATTTGGTAGATAAATGGTCGTGTTTTGTTTCGATGTTTGTGTTTAATTCAAATATATACAATACAATATTTCGGGTGGTAAATAAAAGAAGATTGTTTACATACACGTATTTCAGGGAGACATTATTTTAGTTTTAGAAAACATGATTTTTTTTTATTAACTGTTATGTGCTTGGAACTATATATCAGTAACTGCGAGTAATCTCAGATCAGGGCGCTCGCATACATATTTAACTCTGCCACATTCTATATGTGCCTAATTCAGGAACCTGTAATTTAGTGGTTGTCGTTTGTTACTGTATGTCATATTTGGTTGCGGTATTTGTCCTGCTCATACATTAGGCCGTTATTTTTCTCGTTTCAATTGTTTTACATTTGTCAATTCAGGGCCTTTTATAGCTGATTATACAGTATGGTTTTTTCTCATTGTTGAAGGCCGTATGGTTGTCTATAATTGCTTACATCTATTTTTTTTCATATAATGAGCATTTGTAAACAAAATGCACTAATTTGCTTGTTCAGGTGCATACAAATTATATAATTGAGATACACGACCAAAGAGGCAAAATAGTGACGCTAGCTAATTTTTAGACAGTTAGACTAAAATGTGTGTTTTTTCTCTCGTCACTTTCATGGCAGTTGTTATCAATTAGTCCGTTTCTTTGTATGTTGACTTTTTTTTTGTTGCAGTTCAGTGTTTCTGTTGTTCCGTTGTTTTCTTCTTATAGTTGATGTGTTTCCCTCGGTTTTAGTTTGTAACCCGGATTTGTTTTCTCCTAATCGATTAATGACTTTTGAACAGCGGTATACTACTGTTGCCTTTACTATTCAGAAGTTTGCCCCAGCCCTGTTTTCAGTCTACTCCTTCGCGACTGTAGTGTTAACAGACTGACAAAAGCACGGACGGACTACGGAATGCCATAAAAAGTCCTATCTAAGACGAGCGTACAAGATTATTCCATCTTATTTGTGGATAAATAATTTCCGAATATCTAAAATATAAGGAATTTGAAATTATAAGTATATTAGTATCAATTCTAAAATGTAACATACATTTCGCCTATCATATAATATTATCATGGTTATTACTCTTTCACGAGTACTGAGTAAATAAGACAGTAAATACAAAATACAAATAAGCCAGAAAAGACGTCAAGTTTAGAATTGAACAATTTTTATTCAAACTATAAATTTCCGTTGAAAACTATAAAGTATTTCTCAAAACAGTAAAAAATCTAATGAAACTAAATTGCCCTCTTCGGAAATTAAAACAATGACAACGTTGTATACAATAGGCCGTTTCAAAATCTAAACGACTATGGGCAATATTATTGTTCTTACCCCAAAATGAAAATAACGTCACGTCATTGGTGGAATTACAATTGTTTAGGACGTTTTTAACCAATCACGACGCTTTGATGTACACTTTTGAAAATATTACCCAGAATGAATTAGATTCTAAAACGGCGGATTGCTGGCACTAAAAATTGAAATTGTTTTCAATCTGTCCGATCATTTTAGCTTTTTGGAAGTGAGATATTTAATGTCGGATTTTATTCCCGGAGCAATATTTTTCTCATAAGTTAATATAACAACAGTTTAGTTCAACTGGAGCAAGCGATCTCTTTATCATTTCTCCTTAAGACAATTCTAAATGAAGCAAATGGCAAAAGACAATGAACATTTTTGTCTTTCTTTTTTTCTTAAGATTTTCTCAATTAGGCAACATAAATAAAATTAAACGTTATTCATTGGTGAAACTATTTGATCCAGATAATGAATAAAAGTCAAAATGAATTTGATGCCAGTAGATCAAAGTAATAGACTCATTTTTATCGGCCTAAGCTTTCAAAAGTCACACAAGTTTAAATTCTAGGCGTAAGTTATTACAATTTTCCAATGTACACACGTAAACGTTCAATCATTTGTAGTTTACCGTTTAATGTCACACAAGGTTACATATAAGTAATATCTTGTGTGTTCAATTTCATGTTCGGGGTCTCGGACGCCAAGTGGTCTAAGTAGTGACTTCTGTAATCACTAGCCAGTCAACACTGAGGTTGTGAGTTCGAACCCCGCTCGTGCGGGTGCACTCGACTCCAATCTTAATTGACTAGGATTGTCAGTTTTCCTATCGAAGTTCGGTGGTTTTCTCTGGGCAATCCGGCTTCACCCACCAATAAAAACTGGCCGCCACGAAATAGCCCAAATGTGGCGCTAAAAAATGGCGTTAAAACACCAACAATCAATCAATAAATTGTAAAAAGCATACATTGATATATACAGTGATATACTCGATTACTTCTCCGTTTTTCAGTCTCTTGTGGAGAGTTTTCACATTGTCATTCATAATACATCCTCTAATTTTCATATAAAAACCATACATTTTTCCAATCAGTGTAAGTTCAAATGAAGCTAAAAATACTTAGAAACTAACAAAATCAAACGCTCTCAATCAACAGAACAAGTGACAAACAAATGCCATATTCCTGACTTGTTACATGCATTTTTCGAGAATAATGGTTGGTTCAACCTGGTTTTAAAGCTAGCGGAACCCCCCTCCCCCCACTTGTATGAAAGTTGTTCTGTTATATTGACAAAATTGGGTGAATAACCCAAATAAATAATAGGTTAACGTGACAATTATCAGGATCCACCAACCAAAACTGTGTAAACCTACATCACAGGCATTTTCTTTATTTCAGGTAAAAGATAAAGAACCCATATATTAACTGAATCGATATACGGAAACCTAGAATTTGATCCTGATATTGACTTGGAGTAAACAAGACATCCTTACTTATTTCCCTTACGTTATCATTTGATTGATTGGTTGGTGTTTGTTTAATGATGCCTCAGCTCAAAAAGGCTGTATCTCGATAAACCTGATATTATCAGAAAGAACTGCATGTGTTAGATCATGTAGATTGTCTTTTGACACCGAGAAAAATTATTCCAATTAGAAATTACTTTTTCTATATCAATATCTTAAAATAAACAAAGGAAAATTCAACAGTGGACATATTTTTAATTGTTCTTCTAGAAACTAGTTTTTAAGATTTAATTTGGTGAAGAATTTTTCAAACAGTTGTCAAACTTACGTTTTTGGTTTTTATTAGGTTACTTATCATATCTTGTTACAGAGCCAGCAAGACCTTGTTCGTGTTAAATGTAAATTGGAAAGAAGGAAAAGATAGCCATTACATCCATTATAATTAATTAATACGCCAGACGCGCGTTTCGTCTACATAAGACTCATCAGTGACGCTCAAAAATAGTTTTAAAGCCAAACAAGTTCAAAGTTGAAGAGCATTGAGGAACCAAAATTTCAAAACGTTGTGCCAAATACATCTAAAGTAATCTATGCCTTTTTCAAGTCAGGAGCCTGTAATTCAGTGGTTGTCGTTTGTTGCTGTATATAATATTTGTTTTTCGTTCATTATTTTGCACATAAATCATCGTTAGTTTTTTCGTTTGAATTGTTTTACATCTGTCATGTTTTGGACCTTTTATAGCTGACTATGCAGTATGGGTTTTACTCAATGCCGTACGGTGACCTATACATGATATAGTTGTTAACATCTGTGTCATTTGGTCTTTTGTGGAGAGTTGTCGCATTATAGTAGAGCAGTTGGTTGATGTAGTAGAGCAGTTGGTTGATATAGTAGAGCAGTTGGTTGATATTGTAGAGCAGTTGGTTGATATAGTAGAGCAGTTGGTTGATATAGTAGAGCAGTTGGTTGATATAGTAGAGCAGTTGGTTGATATAGTAGAGCCGTTGGTTGATATAGTAGAGCCGTTGGTTGATATAGTAGAGCCGTTGGTTGATATAGTAGAGCCGTTGGTTGATATAGTAGAGTCGTTGGTTGATAAAGTAGAGCAGTTGGTTGATATAGTAGAGCAGTTGGTTTTGTCAGGTGTTATGGACCTCAACTTTTTTAATTAAACATTAAACTGGGAGTTCGGTATTTTTGTTAATATCGTTTATGAGCGATAGGCCGAAATTACGATAGCTTTATATTAGAATATATTTTATGCATACTTTTAATAAATAAAAATACTGTACATTTGTATCCCGAGCGAAGTCGTATCACTTTCCAGTATATTAAAATTTTCTACCTTCTCTGGAAAAATCGTTTTTGCTCATATAGCTCTTTGCGTGTTTCGGTACTTATACATTCCTGGCTTTTCAAGGATGTGGCTTTAAGCGTTCGTGATGAAGCTAGTAATTCCAAAAAAAGCGCTCCGGACGGATTCAGTTTATAAGGGGGTAATTTTATTTTTCTACCTTAAAAATGCATGCACTTATCTATTTGTCTGTGGAGCAGGATCTGCATACCCTTCCGGAGCACCTGAGATCACCCCCATGTTTTGGTGGGTTCGTGTTGCTTAGGCTTTAGTTTTCTATGTTGTGTCATCTGTACTTTTATTTGTCTGTTTGTCTTTTTATTTTTGGCCATGGCGTTGTCAGTTTGTTTTCGATCTATGAGACCAGTTTGACTGTCCCTCTGGTATATTTCGTCCCCTTTGATTGCGTTTTTTTTTATTTCTTTACTGTCAAGTTTTAAAAATTAAAATATTTTTTAAGAATCGATATTAAATTTTTCATGTTATGTAATCATAGTCTACAATAATTTAAGAATTTTCTTAATAACAAGAAAATACCCGCGAAATATACTTTGGTTCATGATTTGAAGATATATAGTTTTGATCCGCACCTGATTTCAAGTGTTTTCGTGCTCAGAACCACCCCTATATATGAGTGGGCTGAAGGGGGGGGTCTCTTTCCAGTCGCACTTCTGTACCCATTTTTAACAGAAAACCGAAGAAATCCCTCCACCTTTTTCATGTTGAATTGCTGCGGATCCCCGGAAGGAAAAGCTCTTGACCTGTAAAAATCTATTGTTAAATTGCGTCAAGGGAATGTGTATCACAAAGTGTTTTAGTGTAAGGTCAATCCGCATCTGATTTCAGGTGTTTTCGTGCTCAGAACCACCCCCATTTATGAGTCGTCTGAAAATTTTTATATGAAAAATTAATATGTGAATGGGCGGTCACATTCCAGCGACACTTATGTTCCCATTTTTAACCGAAAACCGATGTAATCGCCCCACCCTTTAGGGTATAATTTTTGCTGAGCAGACCATAATACTTGCAAACAAAGTGGATATGATGACGGCACGTAAATTCTGCTAATTAACCAAAAAATATTTCGCAACATGCTCCGTTCCGCAGAAGAATATTTTTAACACCCCCCTAACATTAAATCCTGGATCCGCAGCTGATTTCTGGTGTTTCCGTGATCGGTACCCATTTTTAACCGAAAACTGAAGTAATCCCCCCACCCTTTTCATATTGAATTGATACGGATCCCCGGAAGGAAAAGCTCTTGACATGTAAAAATCCGTTGTTAAATTGCCGAGAGCGTCAAAGTAATGTGTATCACAAAGTGTTTCAGTGTAAGGTCAATAGTTACCGTATCTGCTACGAAATAAAAATTAATTTTGCCGGGCAGATGTGAAATGACGGAAATGACGACGGCACGTAAATTTCAGAGCCGAACGTCGTGAAGGACGGTCGATCCGAACTGGTTTTTTTCCGATTTTAACCCCCAATTACCCCCAAAAGATCTTGAAATTAACACATAATAAACTACGCTGGTCAGTACCCATTTGTGGTATACAACAATATTCGTGAATTTTATATGAAAGAAGAAAACGCGACACCCAAGTTCATTTAGTAATATAGATAATATGATTTTGACTGAAATTTTAGAAATGTTGTATGTTTTATGCAGAGATAAAATAACTATATGATTGTCACTTACAACACTTGTATAGGTTGCACTTCTGTAGATATAGAACTCCTTTTACTGCTAAAACTGTGCCACTTTTACTATGAAGTTTCGTAAAATAATATATCCTAGATTGAAAAGTTCATATGCACTACTATTTTTTTCAAATGTCAAAACATAGGGCCGTGAACCATATTTTCAACATTTATATGCCTCGAACTTCCAAGAGTTTAAACGTATACTAAAATTCTGTACTACCCCTCCCTTCACTTTGGGTCTTCCTCAGAATTCAATTTAGCCGCTATCCATGTGTATTTATACTAGTAAAAGTCCCGAGTTATGTCTCTATGAGATGAAAGATATAGATCATATCTGGGAACCAGTACGTACACAAAACAAAATAACTATGAATATTATATATCTCCTCAAAAGAGGCGTGGTTTGTGAAACAGCTATATTTACTAAGTGCAAACTATAGTGGAAACTTAATGCTACTTTTGGTGGATATATGTACAACGAAACCTATTTTCCATTGCCATTGAGATTGCTATGTGTTTTATGTCGTTATACTATCATGGTGTTTTGTGTTTTCCATCGTCTTGAGGTTTATGTTTCCACTTTGGTTTTTTTATATCTTTATTATAGTCACAGTTCGTATATACATATCACAGTTTACAATTAGGCATAAAAATAAACATTGTTATTCATCATATACTGTCCTTTCTCTGAAATGAAAAATGTTCCAAATTCTACATTTTCTATCTTGCATGAAATATTTGTCATTACGATGACTGTCTTATTATGAACTTGTTCATACTTATATTTTCTTTTTTTAAATACTTTTTTTTCTATTTTTTAAATTAGAAAAAAAAAAAAAGAAAAAAAAAAGAAAAAAAAACAGCTATTCAACAATTACAAGAAAGAAAAAAATAAATAAAATGTTTACATACGTAAATGTTCTATTTTAATTAATATTTTATGTTTAAACAAAAAGCGATTGGTTTCCAGACCAGAATTTTGATACATGACGTTTCCCCTTTGGTATCGCAATCTTTTTTTTTTAAATTATGTCAACAATGTAATGTAATGATGCGCGTACAAACCATGTAACATACAATTATTTCATTTTCTTTATATAAAGTTTTCCGGAAAGAAATAAAGTTTCTTGGTGAGACTGAACTGTGGCATCGGACATTGTTTGTGTACCTTTCCGGCTCCACCATCAATATTCATATCGGACAACTTATTGGTTACAATGGTCAATATACTCAGCAAATCTAATCTGAAATACAGAAAAAGTAAAATGTGTACAATAATGGTGTAGTAGATGACAGCTTATTGGGCCAATGTACAATATAGTCAGCAAATCTAATTTGAAAATGAGGCGACGGCAAATAATTGTTTCGGAATGGTTTGTTTCATACATGATATTCAAATTTCGATTTTATGAATGATTTGGTTTTGGCTCATCCTTGGGGCTATTGGTACGTGAAGATATCTGCTTTGTGACGTCAAATTTTTCCGGGAAAAAACACCGTTAGAAAGATCATAAATTTGTTCGTACACCGGAATAAAGTAACGTTTAGTTATTGGTTACATTTCTATTGTAGAAATATAGCACCAACCACTAATCTACTCTCCATAACATTGTGAACCTTAAATGTCTTTAATTCATCAGCATTTATAATTTAAATGAATGTCAACAAAAATCACAAAATGAGTGCAAACCGTATGTTAATTTTTTTTTTTATTTTAATGCGGTTGTTGTCCCGATGACGTTTCTCCTGGTCGTCCTGTTGCGTTCTCATAGTCCGTTTCATATAATTTTTCGACAGGCTACTTAATCTTTCGTAGGATATTTTCATATTTGGTCAAGTTAGAACAACTAAAAGAAGTAAAATCAAGCTTGCAATCACTGCAAATTGAGGAAAAAATAAATCTGTTATGTTTCTATACACGCCCAAATCATCGGAAAATGTTAAATGTGTTCCTCAAATTGCACAAATTGTAAACTTGATTTTACTTCTTAGAGTCTAACTTGACCGTGTGCCATAATGTCGTACCACATAGTATGTAACCTGTCGAAATACTATAAACTCCGAAGTCAAAGTTGGTAATAACAAGTTAGTCTATAAAATCTATATCAAAACCATGAGGGTCGTATGTAAGAGGATGATGATTTTTTAGTGGAAAATAACCATCCGAGCGTTTTATATTCTTGAGACAATTTTTATTATTTTCAGATGTATACCAGGATCACTTTATTATTCCGGAGCAACTGAGATCACCCCCAGTTTTTTGGTTGGGTTCGTGTATCTCAGTCTTCAAGTTTGTTTTCTGTGTTTTGTGTACTGTTGTTAGTCTTCTTGTCGTTTTTCGTATTTTGCCTTGATATTATCAGTTTGTTTTCGACTTTCAATATCGGTTTGTTATTTTTCGCCTATTTTTTTCAGATATTGGTTCTAAATTCGTTTCTCAAAGAGACATCTACAGACACAAATTACCTCGAGTCACTGGATCACAATTATTGACACATTAACCAACTATGTCTATTTTGGTTACTCACCCAATTTTGTAAATAAAACGAAACTATCAACAACATTTACTTTCATGCAAGTAGGAGGTTTAGCTAGCTATATAACCAGGTTTAATACACCATGTCCTTCGAACAATGCCAGTACCAAGTTAGGAATATGACAGTTGTTTTCCAGTCGCTTCATTGGTTGATATAAGGTGTAATAAAATTGAGAATGGAAATGGGGAATATGTCGAAGAAACAACAAACCAACCAAAGAGTAGATAACAGCCGAAGGCCACCAACGGGTCTTAAACTCAGCGAGAAAATCCCACACCCGGAGGTGGGCCTCAGCTGGCCCATTAATAAAAATGTGTACTAGTTCAGTGAAATTGGACGTCATACTAAACTCCAAAACATATAAATGAACTAATATTAAAAAACATACAAGACTAACAAAGGCCAGAGTCTCCTGACTTGGGACAGGCGCAAAAATGTGGCGGGGTTAAACATGTTTTGTTAGATCTAAACTCTCCCCTACACCTCTAGCCAGTGTAGAATAAAAAAAACACACAGCAATACGCACAGTAAAACTCAGTTTAAAAGAAGTCTGAGTCAATTGTCAGAATAGGTAACAAAAAAAAACTACGCAAAATGACTATGATACATAGATTAACAAAGGACTACAAGCAGTTTCTGACATGCCAGCTCCAGACCTCAATTAAACTGATTGAAAGGTTGTGTCTTCATAATATTTTTTTGCTATGTTAATCGACTATAAATAATTTGCAATACTACAATTACTGTGATTGACGTATTAGTACTAACCTATCAGAATAAGCCATCAACTCGTCTGCCAGAGTTCTAACATAAAATGTCCCCTGCTTACAGTCTCTGTATGATACATAGCCAGGTGTTGTCGCATATCCCAATAAGAAGTCGAACTCTCCTTGAAGATTATGTGTTTCTCCCAGTGGTGGATCTGGTGGAGGAGGTAGATATTGGATATCACTGTTGATGTCACCTGTATCATGTTGCTCTTCTCCTGAAATTTTTTTTCGTATTTAAAAAAACTTTTATAATTTATTATAGATAACACTACCTGTATTTGGCAAAACCTTTCGGAAATGTTGGTCCTCAATGTTCTTCAACTTCGTACTTTATTTGGCCTTTTAAACTTTTTAATACGAGCGTCACTGATGAGTCGTCGATAGACGAACGGCCCATCTAGCGTCCAAAATTTTTGATCCTGGTATCTATGGTGAGTGTAATTATTACGTTTCAAAACTTTTATATATTTTATTCAAGATTGTTTTATCTAATTTTGTAAATCAGATTGTTTCAGATGTTTTAGAAATATTTTTTATTAGTCAAGGTGTTTATAGTAATCGAAAAAGGATGTGTACTTAAGTTTTGTTATTCAAAATGATTTATAACGATGTATTTTTATGATGGTATATTAATTAACTTTAGCCTGCTTAAACAGTATATGCAATATCTGGACGATTACAGATTAACTGTTCTTACAATTAACTTTATTTGTAATAGACCAGCACTCTTACGCTGATATTTTTCATGTTAGTCACAATGAAACAGTCAGACATATTAACTTTCTTATAAACATTATTTTGGCTTTGAGTCAAACAAAATTTAAAACAAATCAAGAATTCAACATTGATACTTGCGAAACACAAACGTGTTGTTTGGTTAGGCTGTTACGTGACAAAAATTTAAGTGAAATGTCAATAAACTGATTGTTTTTTCCAAGCAAAATGTTTGATGATTGCATGTAATGATAGCTAGCATATATATGTCGCGTGAACATTTTAGGGGTGTTTCTTTTGATCTATGGATTACTAGTACATTTTATTTTTTAATTAAGTTGTGAAAATAAATTATAGTTTGAAAACGTTTACTAGTACACCACTGTATAAACCCCTCATTCTTAAAGACACAATACTTAAACACCAGATCAATATCAATGTTTGCAAGAAGTTTGTTTTTAATTGTACGTGCCTTTTTGCTCGTCATTATTGTTTTCAATTGTTTGATCTCTGGTTCCTCGGCAAGCTTGAATGAATAACAATTTTGGTTTTCCTGTAAGTGATTGGCAATTTCTTGATGAAAGGAGAGACGTCAGATGGTTGATCCCGACAGAATGACCATAACTTCCAAACACTGCCGTTTCACTGCCATGTGAAAGAATGCATACAACGCATGCGCCGTACTTTGAATGATCCAATTTTGACACCTCTGTTATTTTTGCAACAATCTCCTCAGCCGAGAGGTCTCTGTGTATACATGTCTTGAATTTGAGTTTGGTAAAGGTTGCAGAGAGCCTTTCTTAAAAATAAAAAATGTGTATTGCTGAAGTAAAAAACAATTCTTTAGTCTGCTTGAGTATTATTTATTTTCAATCATTTCTTACTTAAGAAATAATTCTTTCATGCCATGCTCTATGCTCATTTCTACATGGGTAGGCATTATATTTGTCAATATCTTTATAACGAGCGTAAGCGAGGTGTAAAATATTGACAATATAATGCCTACCCTTGTTAAAATTAGCATAGAGCATGGCATGATAGAATTATTTCGATTCAAATAGAAACATTTAGAACTTTTTTATTTCCAAGCGGACCTATAATACGCGTTCAAAAGGCATCCATTTTGATTTGATGAAGCCAAAACGTTATAGAAAATCAACTGTTTTACGATAAACAAATGAGCAGATTCATGTAAACTTACTTTTATTTAATTTATTTAATTTTCTAGCGAGCAACACCAAAACAATTGTCCATTTTGTTTTCCGGCGTTCAAAACACAGCTGACGTTGCAATTTCAATTGTGACGTCAATCACGTGCGGCCCATGTTTTATTGGATTTAGAACATGGCTTTATTTCCAAATCAAAAGAAGCACGTCATATTAGAATAATTATATAAACTTTATTTGTGGGATAGCTGCATATGTGTCCCAGTTTGTCCTTCTGATAAACAAACTCATTCAATTTCAATAAGAATGTTCAATCATCTATCTAAAAAGTTACCAGAGGCTTTTATCTTTATATCAAATAGGTTTCGTACAAGGCATCATTTATTGTACAGAGGGGTATATTTCATAGTCACAACAGCTATTACTATGTCACTATCAGTAATACCTACTCAAATCGAAAAATAGACACCTGACCAAGGATGAAACCCTTCAGATGACATGACCAGTTGCTGTAACGTTCAATTTATTTACACTATAACCTCAATTACCTTGTATTTCCGGTCTAACATATCTTTATCACACATATCGGAAGAGGAATTTCCTAATTACTTAAATAAAATTCAGAAATGGATTGTAAAAGGTCATATACAGAAAAGTAGAAGATACACTGGGATTTTGATAATCCATGATTGCACAGCTTCACAACTGAATTCAATTATACGATCGACGTCATATACTCCTGGAATTTTTGACATTTTGATTTAAGAATCCCTCGTATGATTGATTATGATTCTTATCAAACGTATGAACTACAAATATTATACTTCTAAATATCAAAACATTGCGGCAACAAGTTTACACAATGTGTGAACCTATTCAACGTACAGTACAGCTAGCACATTAAATCCAATCAAATTCTTTGAGAAATGATTGTGAATCATTCCTAAAGTAAGCTTCAATAATATCCCATCGTCTGTTAGATGTGTAATTTTGGACTGCTGAATTCCAATTGTAACATATACTTATTAATTACTGGCGATAAATGTGTCTTGAATAATACTTTTAGAACGAATAGCCAAAATAAACTACAGATATGTTAATCTTGTTAACAAAATACATTTGTGATTTACAACAATAAAAAAGCGACATAAACTACAATTTGCGAAACACAAAATAAATTTCAAATAAAAAAAACCTCACATATAAAAACTTTGCAATTAAATCATGGTACCTATTTATTTATCGCAATGTATGAATTACAACAACGATTAAAGCACTCAATAATTATACATACCTTCGTCAAATTCTGTCCCACGTCTCGCTGGTAACTTAGATGCATCAGAAAAGGTTTTGTTATTAATTATTACACACATACCTTGAAAAGTATTAAATAGTTGACAAGAAATAATAAGTGGCACATGTAAAAATATGCAATGCAAATAATTATTGCATTATATATCAGAAGATAATTACTGTGATATGCATACGCTTTCGTTGTTTGTGTATGCAAATATCAATATATAATATAGTAGAAAACATAGATTTTCGCTTATTCATTAAATCTCAAATAATTGCGAAATTGAAAAGAAGAACATGATTATAAGTCCTGTTAACGTGTCCCTATACTCAACTTAAAGATGACCAATATCAACTTGGATCTTAAAATGTATACAACAAATAATGAACTCCAAGGAAAATTTGCAAAGGGGAAGTCTGTAACAGCTGACAAAATCAAACGTTATCAACGGAATAAGTGAAAAACAACTGTCATAATTAATCCTGACTTTTCTAAGACATATTTTCAAGTTTCACCAATTTAACCTTCCCAAATGATTCTTTCTAAAATCGGGTGTCTTCGATAGTACTCATTGTCTATTGTAAGTTCATAATGTAATTGTAGTATTAATTAAACTCCCTTTGAAATATGAGATAACTATCAAACCAAGGGTCCTAAAAGATAAGGTAGAAGTCATGCCTTCGAAAAAGGGAACGCTTTCAATATTATTTTGCTGACCGCTATTTAATATATGGGCTGCAAATTATCATGGACATAATGGTACAGTAGCTTCTTTTTTTTCTCTCTCGATTGCAATATCATCTAAATCAACCTATCATAATATCAAACTTGCCATGGACAATACAATGGGTGCAATTAATAGAGCATAATATGGCTACCCTTCCGAAGCACTTGAATTCAACCCCTGTGTTTCAAGGGGTTCTTGTTACTCAATAATATATTCTGTTTGGCTTTTGTGGACTTGAATTTGTCTTTTTGACGTTTTTGTTCTTTTCTTTTTGGTCCAGGTGTTATCTGCTTTTTATTGACTTGTTTAGTCCTTTTTCATTGGTGACTTGCGCTTCGTACATTCCTGAAACTTTAAGCTTATGAGATAGTTTGCTACATTTGTAATTATAATCTTAAAACTGATCCTGATGGCTAAGTAGTTTTCCTATTGTTAATTTCCTAGTTTTGAATGACCACATGTTGTTATAGATCCATTACAAGAAGTGTACGAGATGAAGCAGGGATAATCTATCGACATGCCCACGCCGTTTCGCTTTGAAATTGTTTTATTACGAAAATTAATCCAATGTTTGTCAAAGCGTTTGTGTTATTCATACCTGGACTTATCATTTGCTTAAGATTTGTACATGATCTCTTTTTTTTAATTTTAACTTACCACTATATGGCCTAGTCATATGATAAAATCCTCCTGAAATCAGTAATAAGTTGTAAAAAAAAGTCAAAATTATTGTTCTCATATTATTTGTGCATCTGTTTATCTACCCTTACAAATGAAAAGTTTCTTAAGCCGGTTGTTTTATCATACATCACCATAGATAAAAGGTTCCATAACATACATTGTCTTTCAGTCAGATACATTCTTTACCCATCTTGCCTTTAGGACCAATAAAAAGAAGTGATGCGAATTTGACAATTGGATAATAGAAGTAATTCAAAGTTTTTCGTCAGCATGGTCAGAATTTCTGTACCCTTCCAAAGCACTTGAGATTATCCTCGTTTTTGTATCTATTTCTTTTTTTTTTTTGCCATGACATTTAATTTTTTGAGTTTGAATGTCCCTTTGGTATTTTCCACCAATGCACCCGTTTAAAGGTGTCTTAACAAAACATATTTGAACAATTTTTAAAGATAATGTCAATTGATTTAACGTATACGTTTTATGTGTGCAGTTTTTGGTTCATTGTTATTTCAATCATTTTAGATAATCATTCCTAAATGCGTTTGAAAGAAAGTTACAACCGCTTAAAAATAGTCATCGTGTGTCATTAGTTTACATGGGTTAGTAAGAAAATGATATTTTTCAAATATTGATATTGTCATAATTATAAATTACCTGTTCGCAAAACTTTAATTTTTTCGAGATACTAAGGACTTTCTACCCAGGAATAGATTACCTTTGCGTTATTTTGCAAAACCTTTTGGGTCCTCAATGCCCTTCAACATCTTACTTTGTTTTACCTTTTATTATTGGATTTGAGCGTCACTAATAAGCCTTTTGAAAACAAAACGAGCGTCTGGTGTACAAAATTTTAAACCTTAAATTAGCATTGAACTGTTGTTATTAATATACATATATATAAGAAAAATATAACATACATTTTTATAAATTCTCTTTGCATAAACAATTGGAAAAGAACATGATGAACTAATTCAACAATATAAAACGAAAATGTGTCATCCAAGCACGATTAGGTAGAATTATGAATGTAACAATATTATTATTAAATTTTCTGAATGCATATTTTAACTCTTCAAAGATAAATGTATGTCTGTATCCGGTTCCTAAATATTGTTTTTAATGAAAAGGCGCGACAATTGATCAGGATAACAGTGGTTATGTAAAACTATGTCTGTTGGATTCCTAACCTCACGTTGTCAATATAATGTAACTCTACGCAACTGTCATACAAGTGTTTCAGCTCCATGAAGCTATAAAACCAGGTTTAACCTTCCACTTTCTTCGGAAGTTGGTTGTACCAAGTCAGGACGATGACAGGAGTTTTCAATTTGTTCCAATGGTAGATATAGTTTGTTTGTTTGTTTTTTGTTTTTTTGTTTTATGGAGTTCCTCCTTTTTGAATTTTCCTTGGAGCTCAGTATTTTTGATAATGATTTTTTTACGCTGTTCAATCCACTTTTCAAAATACAAACCACGAAAAAGAAACATGATTTAAACTGCCCGGTTAATTATATTGTTATTTAATGAAAGAAAATGACTTACCTGAGAATTCTTTAATAAATATTCCTAGATCTGAACGATTGATACGTTCAAGCATAACCAGTAATATGTCGCTGCTATGGTGAGAAATCAGCATCCTTTTTTCCAGTACGTCTAGAAAATCATACATTGATGTAACTTTCCGCAATGCCGGAATGATATTTGGTATCATGTCTATAGCTTCCTGTTTAAGTTTTTCAATTTCTGTGGAATCGAGGTCTTCAGCTATCTTATACAATGCAGTTCTATGAAATAGAAAAAAAAACATATACTGAAAAAAATAAAACTAACACGTTATACATTTCGTGCGTGTGAAGCGCTTCTGTGGATTATCTTTATCAGGAACGCTCAAAGACGAATATTTGAAAGCCAAGGATGTAGAAGTACCGAAAAAGTTGAAGTGCGATATAACCAAAAAGGGAATATAAAAAACCAAATCCATCTTAGGCCAACTTTGCCTGAGGGAATGGAAACCATAATTTCTTTATAATTCAAAAATTTGTAAACGGATAATTTATGAAAGGTTTGATATATATTATGTAAGTTGATGATACCATCGGGAACTGATAGTCCACCAGCAGAGGTATCGACACAGTGCTGTAAAAAATGACAATAACATGTTATACATTTCATGCGTCTGAAATATCTTAATTGATATTTTTTCTTTGAATTAATTCCTACTTCACAAGTCTGGTTATCATATGTTTTGTTCTTCGCTTTTTGTTGTCCTTGTTTGCTGATATTTTTATTTTATTATTTTATGAAATCAATTAGAACTGGGTATTTCTTAGAATGTGATGAAGAAAACCCTGTGACAATGGGACACCAATTATATACACAAAAGGCATAGTTTTATGCAGTCATCAATCTGAGTCAGATGGTTTGGATAAGGTTATTATTGTGTATGATTGCGTATATTTTTAAGAGATTCATTCGTTCTTAATGCAGAACTTAATCAAACCATTGAAGTAGAAGCGATATTTTAAAATCAAACAAATGATATTTAAGCAAATAATCATCCAAAATTAAGCAACAATATTAAAAATACTCAACATGATTTGGAATTACCATGTCCACTTGTGATACGGTGCAGTAAAATAGTTTTCATGGTAGACTTCACCGGAAAATACCCGAAGTTCGGTAGTGCAAATATACAACTTGTTAAGGAAAATAGTTACAAAGTGTAACCGGAATTAAACACAGCATTTGCGGAAAAGTATTCCCTTATTGTCACCTAAATTAGAATTTAAAAGAAAATGAAAATATTTATGTTTGAGAATCGTTCAATATAGAACGAGGTTTATGTTTGAAGAATAAGTTTTCATGTTAACACAAATAATTTTCGTAAGTGCAAGAAGTTTGGAAGCCTTAGATATGTAAATACACATAAAAAAATCATTAAATTTTGTGTTTAAAAATCTAAAAGTTATTAAAAATAATTAATATTTGTGCGATTCAATTAGTACAGAATACAAATAACATTTAATATTTACCGGATTTGTAATAACAAAAGCAACACGACGGGTGCCACATGTGGAGCAGGATGTGCTTACCCTTCCGAAGCACCTGAGATCACCCCCAGTTTTTAGTTGGGTTCGTGTTGCTTAGTCTTTAGTTTTCCATGTTGTGTCATCTGTACTATTATTTGTCTGTTTGTCTTTTTATTTTTGGCCATGGCGTTGTCACTTTGTTTTCGATCTATGAGTTTGACTGTCCCTCTGGTATCTGTCGTTCTTCTTTTAAACAATGGGTGTATGTTCGAAACACTTTTACAGGATAACACATATTCAGTAATCATTTTCAGCATTTAACTTGAAGCGAGCTGAGGATGAAAAAATAAACAACATAAAATTAAACAATTTTCTTAAAAATTTACCTGAAAGGTATGAGAAAACCTTCCTTTCGGTGAATTCTTTCTTCAATTTGAGATGAATTGAGTCCTAAGATATGTATAATATTGCGTTTGCCAATCATAAAAAGACATTCTGAAAGAAACTCCTTCCAGTTATTTTCAGTTATATGCTTGACTATTTCTAGTGCTGTGAAAACATCAAGCAAAGAAGAACATTGCTTCAATTGGACATGATGAATCAAGTTCTTCACTAAGAACTTAATTGACTGGACGTCAAACGACACTAGTTCATTGTCAACATCAACAACAGTGCCTCTATCAACCATGATTGGCTATATATTTACTAGGCAAACCTGACCCTGTAAATAAATAAATGATGATTCAGATAAAAGAGATATTGTGTTTAAGTTCAAAACCAAAGAAGAAACTCAACAGAATGTTTTCGATCTTTCACTATAATGGTCTAAAATTGCAACAACAAGCATTTTTCTTTTCTTTTTTTTTTTGTGTGTATTTTTTTTTTAGGAGTGTAATAAACTTTCCTTTTTCAAATATTTTATATTGTATTTTATTATTTATTTTCTTTTTTCGGGGGAAGGGGGAGACAGTTACAATAAAAAATAAATACAGTAAGAACCCAAAAATGAAAAACGCAGATTATTTTTTGATTCCAAAAACGAAATAAAACTGGACCCTGAAAGACATGGATCCTTTAAAATGATTTGTTCGCATACTTATATATTCTTTTCAATGGTTTCATATAAATATTAGGAAATATTCTATAACACAAATATCACCTAGAGTTCAAATGACAATAAAAGTTCACCGAAAATCTTTCAACAAGGAGAATAAAATGCATCGCGAAGCGCAGCTTAAAATGACCGCAGAGTTCGAACCCTGAACAATTGGAGCAAGTATGAACACTATATTCAAGCTTGATACAGCTTTAAACTAGGATTGTGATTAAACAGTCGGCACATCGAAGAACACCAAGAACTCAATTTTTGATCTAACCATTCAAAGTTATATTTTAGACCATTTGTACTTCTATATGGACCAATTTAAAATGGGCCAAAAATACAAAATTTACATACACAGATAAATTCAGCATACTAAACAATCTTAACATTTCAAGAATTTGAATTTAACCCAATTTAAATGGGTCAAGAGTAATAAGCAATTTATACAAAGTTTTATAAAAGTATTGTTCTTTGCCCTTTTTTCTTAAACGGTTAGAGCCATAACTTCCAAAAAGAAAACGTAAGACCTATTTATACAGAGCAATTTACGCAAAAAATGACAGCCAGGAACCAACAATAATCCTGAATTACAGGCTCCTGACTTCGGTCAGACATATCAAAAGAATGTAAGGCGGTATTCAAGAGGGGGACGAAAGATACCAAAGGAACAGTCAAACTCATAGATCGAAAACAAACTGACAACGCCATGGCCAAAAATAAAAAGACAAACAGACAAATAATAGTACACATGACACAACATAGAAAGCTAAAGACTAAGCAACACGAACCCCACCAAAAACTGGGGGTGATCTCAGGTGCTCCGGAAGGGTAAGCAGATCCTACTCCACATGTGGCACCCGTCGTGTTGCTTATGTTATTACAAATCCGGTAAATAGTCTAATTCGGTAAGTCACATTCGAGAAAAGGGAAGGTATTGTAGTTACGACATAAGGAGCATATCCGATATCATCTGTGAAACGGTTATTCCATAACGGTCAACCAACTCGTGATGGCGTCCGTAAAACTTACGAAGGGATGATTTCAACTTCACCATTTGGAACTCAAAATACTACGACTAATATTTATCGTTGTACGAAGGTTAATACACTTTCTATTTGTATATATGATTGTATTATTATTATTGTTATTATTATTATTATTATTATTATTATTATTATTATTATTATTATTATTATTATTATTATTATTATTATCATCATCATCTTAATAGTGATGTTTAACAAACGGTAACAATGAACTTTGTTAATACTTACATTACCGAAAGTAAAATGGGAAATGGGAAATACGAACTTTATTTGAGCTATATATAGCAATTGAGTCAATTCAATTAACGTAGGTTCTATATTTGGTTTTCAACCTATTCAAGTAAAAGGTTTATTTTTAGGCAAACATAACTTCCTGAAACAATGTCAACAGAAAGTAAAATCGAATTATATCAATTAAAATATCGTTTGTCAGGGAAATAGATATCCAAACAGGGACACCAATATTCGAATTATGAAAAATCATAAAAAAGATATAAAAATGTTTGTATCATGCTAATATTCATGTGTATACATAGTTTATATGGTAATCATTACATATAATTTATTTGTAGACTGTTTATCGAGAAGTGCACACACTTACCCGTAAAAACGATTTAAATAACACATAACTTTGTGTACATTTTTGTTTTAAATTGAAACAAGTTTTATATTGTAGTAGAAATGCACACCGCGAGTATGGTTGTCTATGACAAATCCAAAAGTATACGTCACAAATTTGAATGAAATACGGGTATTCAATATTGATATACATTGTAACAGTAATTAAAAATACGAACATACAAAATGATTTTTTCTTTGTTTAAAATGCCGAGTTGTTACAAACATTTTAATTTTCCCGAGAAGGAAGTGGGATGTGGGTACTTTACTGTGTAAAATTAATAATAAATTATAATATAGATTGGGTTTAAAGTAATGTATTGAAAACAGTGTCTATTTTGTATATATATATATTATTTCCTCAAAATATACGATGCAGACAGTAGGAATACTTGATATATAATTAAAGATATCGTTCCTCAATTTAACACAATTAAAACAGAAACTGTCACATTCGAATAAGGAACAATTATTAAAAGAACTTACTGTGTTTGTGTCATACTGATATTCATGTGTGTACATTGTAAGCATTTACATAAAATTTGACAGTGTTTATTCATAGATTATTACTTGGCATTTTCCATATTGTCCTGGTATCAGCCATAGCCTCATATATCAAGTCAGAGGGCTTTAGTCCGGCTGGATATGGGTCGAGGGCTGATACCAGGGCCAATATGGAAAATGACATGCAATAATCTATTTATCACATATTTTCAAGCTGGAGAAAAAAGAAAGCATATATCTAAGTATGTTTAATATTTTCAACAAAAATTCAAAAAACATTTGAAGAAAAAAATTTTAAAAATGTATCAGAGTGAGTTAACAAAATTCGAATCACAGTGAGTAAACAAAGTTTTGTGATAAGTTTAACAAACAATTAACAATCAACATTATTACTCATAAATATTAATTGTTACATTTCCAATGGATGCAGGAGGAAGAATGGAAAACCTGAAACCATTTCCACTGTTGATTTTTAATTTTTTTTTTTCTGCTAGTGTAACAGCAGATTCATAACTTTATATTGTTTTACAGACTTCATTAAATTCTACACTGTCAATCATATTATCAACATCAGGAAACTCTGCTGGTTAGTACTTAAACATTGTTAATGTTGCTTTTTGTGGTATCAATTCTCTGCTTCCTGACCCAATATCCCTGGGATTTCAGGTGTTTCCTTTTGGCAGATAATTCCTCTCTGCTGTGGTAGAATTCCTTGTCTTTAATTATATTTATTCCATTCTTTTCCAGTACAGTCGACTTATTGATGACTGGATTGATTTCAAGCTATCCAGTTCATATTCCTCATTTTTCTGAGATCGGACAGACAAGATAAATCTAGCTACGTACTGATTAAGTTCAGGTACAGATATGTCCTCCCTTGCCCGTAACTCGTTGTCCTCCTTTAACCATTCAGTTAACAATTCAACGTCACTTCTTTTTTTTTCTTTGTGTTATCATTTTTCTTTTCTTGTATGAATGTACTTGCATCGTTATTTAATACTGGGAGAAACCTCTCCTGATCATCTGCTTCAGGTGCCATCTTGTTTACAAATAGTTTTTGATTGACAGGTTCAAATCCGTGGGCACGATATGTGTTTTCGAGTGCCTATATCGATATTGGCCCCGAGGGCAAAATACTTACCTTGACTGCCGGCTATTATTGGCCATGCAAAAACGTACATATTAGTACAAAATGTGTGATAATTTCAGATACATGTTATTTCTTAATATATTCGACACCGACAGTTAGAAAACTGGATATATATTTAAAAATGTCGTGCTTCAATGTAATACAATTAAAACAGAAACTGTCACATTCGAATAAGGAACAATTATTAAAAGAACTTACTTTGTTTGTGTTATACTGATGTTCATGTCTGTACATGGTAAGCATTTACATACAATTTGAAAGGAAAAGTTAAATAACAAAAAAAAAAAAACGAACTCCAAGAAAAATTAAAAACGGAAAGTCCCTTATGAAATGGTAAAATCAAAAGCTAAAACACATCAAACTAATGAAAAACAACTGTCAGAGCAGTAACCTCCCATCATATTATAAGACGACAGTTAGCACTGACAGTTACATCTTTGTAAATAACCAAAAAATAAAAGAGATATTTCTGATTTACCTCTTTGAAGTAAAGGTGTAATTGGGGACTAGTTTGAGTCAACTCTTAAATCTTACAAAGAGAAGAAGACTCTTGATGATTTATTACCTAAGTTCGATATGAAAATAAGAAAAGAAAACATAAATCAGACAATGAGTCAACAGGTCCAAGTAATAAGCAAATAACATTCATTGACGAAGATAAGACAAACAGTCAGCAGTCAAACAACGGTTCTTTTCGTATGTTCGAAAAAAAAACCCATAGAAACACAAATGGCTTAAAAAAAACAAGTCACAAGGACAATCTAATGAGACAAAGTTTGATGCCTCTCAGATCAGAAGCTTCTTCAAATGTCTTAATAAGGCAAGAAACAATGACAAGGGGGGAAAAGTAATGTTTGTTTTTTTTTGAGATACCAGTAGAAAATCGACTGTCACATTTCCTTTCAGAATGGGAGAAAATAACAGAAGACAAGTGAGATTTCAACATAATAAGGGAGGAATACAAATTGGAATTTTAATGAATAAATAAACCCGATAAACTTGTTTCGCACAAACAATTTCAAGTTGGATTATTCAAGTGATAAAGTGATGAAGAAAGAGATTGGGAAGATTAAAGGACATTCGAACATGTCCATTGTTATAATTGGAATGTATGACACAGTTATCTTTCTAATTTGCTCCTTCTTTCTTTTATTTTTATCATTAAAAATTCTAAATTCTGGAGATTCATTTTTGTACTAAGATGTATTTTAAGTTGGGTTTATTCTTTAGCCCATGGTAACTTCTAATGTTTCTTCGGATTATGGTGTGTGATTGTTTTTTAATAGCTTATCTTCTATTATTCTAAGTTGCTTTGATGTTTATACTGAAAATAATTCATACAATGTTAGAGCAACCCGTCTATGACTCGTATTCGAAACGTATTCAGCTGAATACTTTCAGACACTAAATCATGCTAGCTATTATTCAAATGTTCTACACTTGACATATATTAATCGTCTAGCTACATTGACAAAAAGACAGCTTAAATAAGAAGGGATTATGGCTATGCTTTTGTTAGATCTTTTGTGTGTTTGTATCATTCTGATGAGTTAAGCCTTTTTAACTGATTTATGTTGTGTTGTTACACATGTGTTGTAGATTAAAAGAGTGAGGTTAGGCACCGCAAGCATGTTTAACCCCGCCACATTCTGTATATACCTGTCTAATATCATGATCCTATAATTCTGTGATTCTCTTTTTTTTTCCTTTTTTTTTTTTTTTTGCTGTATATCATTTTTTTCCGTTTTAGGCATGAATCAGAACGTTCGTTTTCTCGATTGAATTGTTTCATATTCTATAATTTCGAACACTTTTATAGCTTTCTATGCGGTATGGGTTCTGTATATTTTTGAATGCCGTATTGAGACCTAAGGTCTACGTCATTGTGTCTCTCCCGTAGAGATTGTTTCTAATTGGCAATCACATAGACATCATGGAGAGTAGGTGATGTATAAAGACGATGACTATGGCTGCGTCTATGTCCAAGAGTAGAGTTAGAAATGTTCATCACATTCACTGAGCTACAGGAAGGACTAGATACCATACCTATATCATCGATTTTGTAATTGCTACCAATGGGTGTCGCAGTTCAGCATTTTTGAATCCGGTATAGTTTTCCTTTCTGTCTAGATAGAAGTTGCAAGAAGTCATAAGGTATATTTTTCCGATGATGCGAACTTTCATAGAAAGGATTGAATGATCAGGCTTCAAACTCATAACTCGAAGATAAACTGACAACACAATGGCAAAAAAAAGAACAAGAGTCAAACGTTAACAACCTTATTCATAACACGACATAGAAACAAAAACTTCGCAACACGAACGCTACTAAAAACCGAGGATGACCTTAGGTGCTCTAGAAGGGTTAGCAGATCCTGCTCCACATATTGCATCCGTCGTCTTTCTCATATAAGTACAAATCCGGGGACAAATCTAATTCAAAAGGTCACATATTGGGAAAGGAGGACTAGATTGTGGTTACACAGAATGGATGTGGCCGGGTACGTGTACATCCCAACAACAAAAAGAAACTAAGTACAGATCTTAGAGTACGCGCAATTACAGACAGCTAGTTCAAACCCAATAACAACTAATAATAGAAATCATGCATCTAAGACTAAACTATCAATCAGTACACATCCAACATCCAATGTCATAAACAGTCAGAGAAAACCATGACCGTGTGCAATGCCAAGATACAGGTAACGAGAGTCGGCAAGAAGGGGATAACAGTAGTTAGTCCCAGGTTTTTGTCGAATAGACAGTATTGACAAGAGCACCCTATAATCATATTTGCCAACATATCTTTATCTGTTTTGACCTTGTTTGATAAGAGGTTACTATCTCATAAATTAAATGATAAAAAAGCGACAAAGATAGAATGTTACATTAAATAATTACCAGAATTGTAAATGCTAAATAAAGGCAACAGTAGTATACCGATATTCGAAATTCATAAATCGATTGAGAAAAAAACAAATCC